TGCTGCTGAGCTCTTTGGGCTGGAAGTCAGCTTAAAGAAGACAGAAGTTCTCTATCAACCTGCACCTCGGGAAGTCTTCCATCATCCCCACATCACCATTGGCCAATCAGAACTCAAATCAGTCCAGCAGTTTAATTACCTAGGTAGCCTCATCTCCTCGGACGGTAAGATTGACAGAGAGATAGACAACAGGTTAGCAAAGGCATATAGTGCCTTCAGAAAGCTTCATAAAAGAGTTTGGCGAAATAAACACTTGAAGAAAAGTACTAAGATCAGTGTTTACAGAGCCATAGTGCTGTCTATTCTCTTAGATGGTTCTGAATCCTGGGTCATCTACCACCACCACCTGCGTCTCCTAGAATGCTTCCATCAACGCTGCCTCCGTACAATCTTAAACATCCTCTGGTCAGATTATGTGACCAATACATCTGTTCTTGAACAAGCAGCTGTCACAAGTATTGAGGCCATGTTGCTGAGAACACAGCTGCCCTGGGCAGGACACATCTCAAGGACGAAGGACCACCGTCTCCCTAAGATCTTGCTTTATGGTGAACTTGCCACTGGAGGAAGAGAGGAGCCCTGAAGAGAAGATACAAGGACTCCCTGAAACAACATCTCAGCCTTGGCCATATTGATCGACATAACTGGTCTACTCTGGCCTCAAATCGGGAGGTCTGGAGACACACCATCCTGCTGTTTCCTTTGAGAACACACGCAGGATCACTCTCGAGGAGAAAAGGCAATGCAGAAAGAACCGTGTCTTGCAGAATATACCACCTAAGGAGTCTTTCTGCTGTGCCTTTTGCAACTGGTTGTGTCTATCTCGTATTTGCCTCATTAGCCACCAGTGTGCCTGTAATAAATGTGGATAGAGCCTTCCTAAATCTTCATTCGCAAAGCCTAGCCATGAAAAATGAAAAGCTTCTGTTATGCCTGAATGCTCAGCTTTATCTTGTGATAATTCTGATTACTCAGAGGTGTTAGTGTGACCACAGTGCCTCCTAAACATCCTGTATGATGAAGAGATGGAGATTTTAGCTTAATCTATTTTGCGAAGGGCAAGAATCATATCTGTTTCAATTTAGGTCCACTTGCAAGTATTCGATGACTGAAATCAGAAGTACTTTTAAAATTAGGTATTATTGAAAATAAATGCATTGCATCCAACTCTGGAAGATAAATTGGCAAGCTTCAGAGTTTGTGAATTATTTCTGGTTTTGATGCACTGGAATTTCAGAGGGAGAAGTTATGTAAATATGAGTAAAAAATAATTTGCATACTTAAACGTATGCTTCTTTTGTGGCCTAGTGTTGTGGTTTAACTGCAACCAGGTTTATGTAATACATGTGATTGATACTCTGTTTTTTTACAGATTTTCAGATTTCAGGATGCTTTTTTGAAGGTGTGGATTTTTATCACTGTTTTTGTGTTGCTCAATTTGTCAGCACTTGCTTATAATTCCAGTAGCTTATATATTATTCTTTTGTGCTGTGTTCTGTGATGTATGAACTGCACAATTTGGTCTCTTTGAACTAGTTCTTCTCACCCCTTTTTTAAAATCTGATTTCCATTCCCATTCAGCTGTGCTTTCTCACGCATACTTGAAATTTCTCATAGGATTTCTCTCGGAATTTTTACCATCTTTCCTAAAGATGGTGACCTTTATGTGGCCAAGATTTTTACCTGTCTTTTTTCTAAAATCTTTCATCTAGTATCCTCTTAATCCTTTAGCCATTCTTATCCGTATTTGACAGAACTATAGCAGTATCAAAACTGAGTTCATAGAAATTGTTGGTCAGGATAGAGGACAAGGATGAATGCAAATTAGTTTCCCCACTTTAAAAAAGATGAGGAAAGCTCAATCATTATATATTCAATATATGTTCAGATCTAAATCTTATATATATTTTGCCATGGCCAGCCAGAAAAGTATTTGCTTTGGATTAATGTTAGCATATACTTTCCTCTATCCAGTGATGGTAGATGGGAGAACATGAGGAATTTGAGTTTGATGCACTGCATGCACTTGGGGATCAAATGATGCACATCAGCAGGAATACAGCTTTAGTTAGTCAGCATTACATTGACACTGGATATTTACAGATATTTAGTTACATGATCTGTCTACCTGAGAAAACTTACAAAGAGCAAGTCATACTACAGAATCACAGAGTCACAGAATAAGTAAGATTGGAAGGGAACACAGTGGGTCATCTGGTCCAACGACCCTGCTCAAGCAGGTTATCCTAGAGCACATTGCACAGAATTGTGTCCAGACAGTTCTTGAATATCTCCAGGAAGGGAGACTCCACAAACTCTCTGGGCAATCTGTTCAGTTATTTCCATCATGGCATCTATACCTGTCATAGGTGTGAATAACTTCATTTAACTTCTATGAGCATATTTAAATATAAACATAGTTTTTGAACTTTCCTGCCAGTTTATGTGAAGTCTAAAAGCAGTTCATATGCAAGCGCCCAATGATTCCTGCAGAATCTGCTTCCATATGAAGTGGGGATTAGTGCTTCTCTGTCAGAGTTTACCAGGAATTTTTCCTTTTGGGGTCTAGGTTGGCGTAAGGTGTTTGGTTTGGGGTTTTTTTTAAATCCCTTGAGGCTAAAGCTAGAGAATCAAACTTCCTATCTTCACATATCCACCATGTATGTAAACATCCCATATATATGCAAGTATATATAACCCCCTGTGGGGGTCATTTTGTGGTAGGGTTATTCCATTTTTTTAGAACCTGTTGTAAATCAGGTTTTAAAAGCCCACCAGATCTGATCTATGATGCAATAAATTTCTCCTTTTATATACTATCTGTATTCTAATTTTTGACTATCAGTAATTATCTTTTTAATATTGTACATAAATACACTACTAGAATTATACTTTTGTGCATTTCCAGAAAAAAAACCAAAATAAAAAAAAATAATCACTTGAAAATAGGCTTTACTTGTGTAGGAGCATCAAAAAGCTAATTATGAAACATCTAACATTACAACAATGAGTACACTGACTTAGATGTATAAAATCAAAGGTTCCTCATGTTTACCATTTACTGTTCTAGAAAACTGAGTTGTATATGCCTGTTCCAGAGCAGAAGAGGGTCTCATAGTCATGATAGCTCAGGAACGTTGTGACGAAGTTCAAACTATGAAAGCCTGCATAGTTTGGGAGTGTATAGATTATAGGTTTATAGCTAAGGAAAACCAGTCAATGAGAAAAAGTTTAAATATCACATGTGTGGTACAATATGTGTTTCAGTTAGGATACTGATGTGTTTTAGGAAAGTGATGGTTTTTTATGTTTCTTTAAGATTCAAATGTTGGAATATTGTGTAGTGAGTTATAGGTTTGTTGTCATACATCTGTCTTCTCTTAAAAATTTTGATTTCTTTGGGGGTTTGTAAATTAAGTGTTACCTTGTGTTATTGCTAACTAAGAGTACTTTATTAATTTCAGACTTACAAGGAAGAGTGTTTTTCAATAGTGATGATATTATCAACTTCAGATTTATTGATAATGCAGTTTTTTTACTTATCAAAATCATTGTTGGAGTAAAAAAGTTTCCACACAAACTTCACATCTGTTGTAAGATGTTTGTACTCACGCATGCACATACCCTTAGAGAGATATCATCACTTGTTGTTGGTGAGGGACAAAAGTCTGTTGATATTGCTAATCATAGGAGTTCAGACACTAATCTGGGATTGAAGAAAACTGTCCAGATTTACTGACTGTGCAACTATGAGGTGGGAAAATCTCAATTACAGACTTTTCCAAAAAGCTTCAGCATTTTGATGCAAGAAGTTTTAAGAGTGAAGACTATGTTCTTGTGTGTTTGGTGATAGTTCTTTGGTTTTCTAATGCGTTTTTTGTTTGTTTGTTTGTTTTTCCTGTTTCAGAATATTCAGGGCTTCTAGCAAACCATATTTAAACAAACAAACAAAAAACTCTTAGTTTCTTTTACACAAGTACCTATATTTGAGTGCGTTTTTGCACATGCATGTCTATGTGTAGAAATGTATTTTGATTTTTATTTCCTAGTAAATGCTATTATAGTTAGAAGTACTGAACATTTAATCAAAACTAAGCGATACCTGACTGCTGAGTAACTCTCACTCTACTCAGAAAGATTCCTGTCCACTTCTGACCACTGAAAGTAGGTAAAGATCTGTTTTGTTAAACACTTGGTATACATAAATACCTTGATTATGAAGTCCTTGAACTGCAATTTCAAATTAAAAGCAGGGAGTCACATACAGAGAAAACCAAAACCACAAACCATGTGATGGATCTTGCATTTTAACTTAAATCTCTTTGCTATTCAGAAACACAGATAACTGAGGGGAAAGCCCACTGTGTCCTTGCTTCCTATCAGAAATGTTTTAACATTTAAAGTTCTTCCACTCTCTTATCACTTTGCGTCTGAGCACTTTGTATCGCACACAAGGTACAAGACGTTATTACAAGAACAGAAGTTTCTTGGTGAACTATCTTTGCTGAGAGAGCCTTTGCTGGATGGACAACCAAAAGCAGAAAGGAGTAGCTTTAAAGAAGAATGATTGTCACAAATGCTTTTGGCATGTCCCGTGTGAAGCTGATAGTTTGCAGTCCTTCACTGCACTTTGAGCTTGTTACTCTTCTGTCTGAGTCTTCAGCCTACAGAGAGACTCTGAGTATATTTTCAGCAGGACTTATTGCTACCTGATGTTCTGCATTTACTACATAAACAAGCTTTTTACTGTCTTTTAAAAGACAAAATGTTGATGGAGTAAGACAAGTTTTCTATTATGAGCTTTACTGAGGACTTAATGCCTTCTACCTATGGCCCAAAAAACTCCCCCCCCGGAAGAGGCAAGGCTGCTTTCCCGGGCTTGGCAGGGAGATGCCGGGTTCGCTGGGCACTTCCCGCTCAGATTAGCATAGCCCAGCCTATATTGCACACACTCCCAGTAATACCTCGTTTTGCCACTGGAATGAGGCCAAAAGCACAAGCATTACAGGGATATAAAGCAGGAGGTTACTGGAAAGAATCACAAACTAACGTGAGATGAGACCAAATTTTTGCAAATAGCAGAAAATGTGATCTTTGCTGTAAACAGTTCTTGCATTTCATGTAGCTGTTTATATTATTGAAGCTTTTAATAAGTGTTTTCATTGAGTATAGTTACAGAACAGCTGCAGAAATCTTAAGTGCTTCTGTTCATTTTTTTTTCTCTGCAGTTTTGGAACTGAAAAATCTCAGAAGAAAGCTGGAGACTGACACAGATCAGGGTCACTCCTCAATTGTGCACCCTTCTGAGGCACTGCTTTTGTGAGGTGGGAATGATGACAGGGGCAAAAAGGAAAAGAAGCACAGTCTGGAGGAAAATCCAGGCTGTTCGCTTTGAAGATATCAAAGCCTGGTGTATGAGAAGGCTGCCCATCTTGAAATGGGTGCCTGTCTACAACTGGAAAGAAAGTTTGGTTCCTGATACAGTTTCTGGGATGATGCTAGCCATTCAACAGGTGACTCAAGGTACAGCTAACTCGTTTCAGATTAATATTTAATATTATTTGACTGAATTAGTCTGGTCTTCCTTTTCTTTTCTTTTTTATTTTGTCTTTCTTGTTTTATATTATTATAAAGCTTTGGTTAAAACAATGTCATGCTTATAATATAAGGAAAAATGTATAGTCTTAACTGTTAATGTGTATATAATGGATATGAAAATGTGGACAGAAATGCATTGTGTTACTGTAGTTGATTTCTGTGGAACTTTACTGTGTATCCCATCCCTCTGACAATTTTTCAAAGACTTAATATAACAGATAAGAGAGCAGTAACTCAATTCACACAGAATATGGTTATATACAATGGTTTGTCATTTAAGTGACCACCTTTTTCTCTATTTCATATGGAAAACAAAATATATCTGAATGATAATTGCACTATAAGATATGCTATTCTGAAAAAAAACATTTGCATGATACTATTACCTGTGAAAGTCCAAAACACAGCAGGAAAAATGAACAACTTTCTGGGCATAAAGGGTGCTCCTGCCAGAGACATTACCCAGGGAAAATATTTGCTGGCATCTGTGGTTTGTGTGTGGATTTAATGCTGTATTGCATTACCTACCACATCTCTTGTCAAGCAGCAATACAAAGTAGGGGTGGAGCTAGACTACATTTGGCAGCTTAAAAAAAAATTAAAAACAGTGAAGGAAAAGGAAAAACTCCCCAAACTAAAAGCCTGCACAATGATCTGCAGAAACCTTAAGGCCCAGTAATCTTGGTTAATAAAGTAATTGCTACTTGGAAACAAAGGCTTTTGTCAGTTTTTGATGTGTCGTTTATAGTGCCACCTTCTTATGGCAATATCTTATATTTGTCTTAGGCAAATCATAGCTTCTTGTCTGCCTCAGATGTACTTTAACTCCTTCCTTTATGTAAATGACATACATTGTTTCTGAACAGTCTTCCATATTAGCTATGCTTAACTATCATTCATGTTGTTAAATTATAAAGGCTCCTTTAACTGAATTATGCTGGAGCTGGAAACAACTGATTTGTCTAAGTATTTGTTCTTTTAAAGTAATTAGGAACAGCTGCATTGGCTTGATTTAACTTTAAGAACCTTCATACCATAACACTGCAAAGTATCTAATTTCCCCGGTATGTGTGTATACAACAATTGTAATTAAAATGCTGCTAATACCAGTATGTTGAAATTCATCAAAAATGCTGAAGAGCAAACAAGTTAAACAAAAAAGTTAAACAGCATTTCTGCACTGCTGGCAGTTTTAGCCAGGATTTTCTTGTTTGACTCTTGTACCAAAAAGTAACAGATAAATTTAAGGAGATCCAGTGAAGACAGAAAATACTAGTTTGTGCTCTCTAGATTATTTTTAAGTACTCTAGAAATAACTTTATCCTTATTTTATGCTGTTTAAAAAGCAGTACATTGACAACCTCCCTTCCTGTTTTTCCTTTCTCTGCTTGCTGCTTGTCAAGATTTTGGGATGATTTTAGGAAACGAAATAGGAAGACAGCTAGATACAAAAGCATTTTATCATGTTTGTGGTGCTTTAATTTGAACACAACATATTAATTTGGACCATTAGCTCCTTCCCTAGTGTTGTAAGCATTCCAGTTATACTTTCACAGAGAGGCTTATAGATGAAAAAAGTCCCATTTTTTATATAGCACAGAGTGAAAAAATCTCAAATTTTGAGAGGTCCTGTTGTGACTCTTTTCTTTTACCCACAAGATAAAACAAGAAGTTTTGTAATGAAATGAAAGGTAGAAATTCTAATAAAAGTAGAAAAAAAAAGGTAACCTGCAATAATTGACTTGTAGAGCACAGTATCATTTGGTGTTGCAGCAACAGGTTTAAGCAAATTCAAATACATTAAAATAAACTTGAGTTATGGAAGTATATGGAAAAAAATGTACAGCTGTATTCACATGCAACAGTTTTCTGAGTGAGAAGAAGGACAGGGAGTAGTCCAGTAGCTCGAGGATAATTAAGAAAGGCCTTCCAACTGATCTGTGTTTTTCACAATTTCCTACTGTGTGGTTTCTTACTCATCTGGCATTGGCCATGTTCAGACTATTCAAGTTGGCAACTACTCTGACCTGGTGTAATGTGTCTGTGTTCCAGCATCTAATCTAAATTTTACACAAAATTGCTGGCTTCCCTTTGTAAAGTAAGGAAGGAAAGACAAAAGTCACTGTCCTTACTGTGTCATAGTGAAAGGAATGAAGATAATGCTTCACTCTTCCTTGCAACATTTTCAGAAATTGCTTCTGGAGAATTCATATGTAGCAGTAGTTTTTGGTGTCTGCCTTATAAATGAGAAAAACAAAAGAGTAAATTAATAGAAATATCAGCAACCAATGTATACAGATAATTATTGCTCCAAAAAAGTCTTTGATAAAGGTATAGGATACTTCAGAATAGCTATTCTGTGACATCTTTTATTTTGGATAAAGTTTGACAGAGCTACTACAATTCATTTGTGATTTGCAGTGCCAAAATTATTGTTTTCTAAATGTGACTTAAACCTTCAAACTTCTGTAAGATACCTCCAAGTTAGCTACTTGAAAATTGAAACACTTGAGCTCACATATCAGTTTATATTTAAAAATCTTCCATCATGACACGCATGAACTAGAACTATGTCCCGTGGTAACAGAGTCTAGGAATGGTGTGAGAAAAGAATGCCACCTGAGTGTTTAATTGTTTTTACTTCCACGTACAATGTGGAAGAAATAGATCTTTAGAAGATAAGGCGTTACCTTGCCTAACACTGAACTGAGGTGATACCTGCAGGGAGATGGGAAGGAAAGGTGTGGGATCATCATGATGTGCTGCTTGGCATTTGTGATGAAAGAGTCTTTGCTGAAACCAAGCAGTCATTCTTTAAGTGTTCCTACAGTTGTTTCGTTGTCTGCTAAAAATGCCAAAAAAATATTAATTCATGAGTCCCAAAATTCACTGCTGAACTCTCATGTCCTGTTTAGCTATTGAGACAATACTTGTATTGTCTCTGCATATGTCCTCTAATTTTAGAGTACTTGATTTAATTCCACAGAATATGGAGAAAGAAGTGTCAAATATAATTATGTTTCTAAAAATGTTATAAAAATATCCACTAGGAACAAGAACCTACAAGTTCTAACAAAAAAAAAGCCCTTTCAAAAACACCAATTACTGGAAAGATTCAGTTGGACTTTCATGGTCTCAGACTGCAAAGTCAGTCATCTACAAGTCAAAACCAGTAAAGGAAATCAGGCTTCATCAGTTACAGATATTTAATATTAGTTCCAACTATAATTTAATAATACAGAGTTCAATACCTTATTTTTCAGCCATAGAATCCTTAATCATACTCTGATACCTAACATTGAAGAAATAACCTTTGAATCTAAAATAGACATCGTCATCCAGTCGAGAAGTTTGCTATATATTTTCACAGACACTTAAGAAATTTGAGCTTTTATGTTTTCCTAATCACTACTTAATTTGTCTCATATTTTTTCTCAAAAACCTGTTAATGATAGACTAGAGCAAGATATCTCTAAATTAGCAAAATAGATTTATTAATTTTAATTAATTTTCTTGTTGGATTAGTATTCATCTCTCTCTTCCCTTTCCTTTTAAAACTTATTAATACCCCATCAACAGTCATTCTATAAAGATTTTACTTTCCATTTCATTCTTTATTCCTCTCCCTTGGGAGAGGAATACATGCTAGGTCCATGTAGATGTCTCATAAGTGCCTAATATTTTTTTTTTCCTTTCCAAACTGAAATTGTGCTAATAGAACAAAGGGGCTGCAGTGCAGGTAACTAGTTCTCTGCAATCTGCTTTTGTGTTCGTTACTATATAATGAAGATCTGGTTAATAAGAGCTAGTGAACATTAAGCCATTAGAGAGTATCCAAAGGAGGGCAACGAAGATGGTGAAGGGCCTTGAGGGGAAGCCGTATGAGGAGTGGCTGGAGTCACTTGGTCTGTTCAGCCTGCAGAGAAGGAGACTGAGGGGACACCTCATTGTGGTCTTCAACATCCTCATGAGAAGAAGTGGAAGGGCAAATACTGATCTTTTCACTCTTGTGACCAGTGACAGGACTCAAGGCAATGGCATGAAGCTGAGCCAGGGGAGGTTTTGGTTGGATATGAGGAAAAAGGTTTTTCACCCAGAGAGTGGTTGAGCACTGGAACAGCCTCCCCAGGGAAGTGGTCACAGTACCAAGCCTGCCTAAGTTCAAGAAACATTTGGACAGCACTCTCAGGCACATGGTGTGATTCTTGGGGATGGTCCTGTGCGGGGCTAAGGGTTGGACTTGATGATCCTTATGGGTCCCTTCAAACTCAGTGTATTCTATGATTCTGTGCTTGTGAGAGGTGGTGAATGATTGGCTTTACATCACTTTTTTTTTTCATTCACTTATTAAACTTGACTGAGAAGTTTTCTCACTTTGCTTTTCTGATTCTCTCCACCATCCTTTGAGGAGGAGCAAGTGAGTGAGTGGCTGAGTGGGTACTTCACTGCTGTCTAGAATCAACCCTTCACAAATATGATTCATGCAACTGAATCTAATCATCTGCTTTATCTAATCATCTGATTAGATAAATAGGATTTCCTTTGAGTGTAACAAGGGATTGGCTCAGGTGTAGACACTGATGACTCAGGCATCAAAGTTTAGGTGAGATGTGCCTCAGCCATTATATCTTTAGCATTGTGGGTAATAAACAGTTCATGTTCAACATGGTTAGAGACAGGTCTTACTGTTTTCTTTTCTGTAATTTATCCATTTACTTGTCACAACAATACCAGAATTATTTGTGGCTTTTTCATGTGGCATGAACACCCCATACTTATATGAGAAGAATACTTTGATCAAGCTGCGTCTGAGTTTTTCTTGATTTCCTTACATGATAATTTTAAGATGCATTATGATGCAGTCTTTCCACCTAGTTAAATTTCATAAAACTGTCATCATGTTTTTTTCTATAGCCTTTGGAACA